GTATTTGTAACATTGTAATTTCCATTACTATAATTATATACATGAGTAATGAGCACAACGAAAATTTGAACTAATTCGCTTTTCATGTTATAGATGAAATCATTTTCTCAATTTCTGTCAACAGATTCTATGATGTCATACTTTACCCATAATCCTTTGCTTGATAATCAAGATGGCTGACTACATAAAACTGATAAAAGTTGAATATCTAGAGAACGAAAATTGATATACAAAAACACTGTGAATTGCATTCTTCTACATTTGTGGAGCTTTTTTTATGTTGTTCGGCTTAATCTTTCATTTAATAGTAATAATAATAATTCAGCATCACTGAACATTTTCTAAACATTTTCTACTTTTTTAACTATAAAGTGGGTGTTTGATCGCTAGAGGCAATAGTTGTCTCAATGAACCTGAATAATCAAACAGTATGTCATGTACAATCTCTTGTTGGTGGTGGGGGTGCAGGTGGAAGAGCAAGTCGACTGAGCTTGATTAACTGCAACCTAGATACGAGTGACATGTTTTTGTTCTTTTCTGTTTTACAAAATGTATATTATTATAACTATAAGCACATAAGCATATTGTAATGTCGGCCACCCCCTCTCAAACACTTTAGTATATGTCTCTTCAGCACATAATCCACCCACACATCTTTATTTTGTCACTAATTGCAAAAAGCATGCATGTTTAATATTCACATTTTAAGTTGCTATATTCATACTGTCTGTATTGAGTTAGTCTTGTCATACTATACTCGGCAGTCATTTCGTCACATTCTAATCTGTAGGTTGCAGCGATTTTAAAAGAAGAGTACCCTGGCGTCAGTCTGACGTTGTCCCATACAGTGAGTGGCGTTGGTTTGCTGGAGAGAGAACATGCAGCAGTATTGAATGAAAGTTTGAAACCGTACTTTTTAAAAACCACCAGTGACTTTGATATAGCCCTGCAGAGTCTTGGTCTTGATTGTCCTCTTTACCTTACGCAGAATGATGGTACGATTCTGAGGTAAAACAGTTCACATTACATTTAAAAAACAATAATAAACCAACAATATGGGAAATTTATTCTGCACCTATAATATAATAAGGGTAATAGTGGAGCTGGTATAATCAGCTAATGTGTTATATTACTAAAATAAATTAGTAATTTGATATGTCAAATATACTAGTGTATACAGGAGCAGGAAACTGTGGCAGTCATCGAAGGGAATAGAATGATGCTCGGTACAACGTCACTTAGTGCGTCGTGTATTATCACAGGGAGCCCAGGAACTATAATCAACTGTAGTACACAGTCTCTATGAGCGGGGGGGGGGGGTATCGGCTGGTATCTAGTGTAAGAAATAGACAAGGGATGAAGGCTCCAGCCAGCTTACATTTTTTAAACTAGAAAAAACAGACGAAAAGAATGAAAAATAAAATCTAAAAAAAATACCAGGTTGAAGAATATTAGTTGCTCCTTCAAATTTCGCCAAAGCCTTGCCTACATTTCACCGATATCTGCAGAATAAATCAAGAAAACTACACAAATTGACTCCATTTAGGAATTCCTAACGGTTTGCCCGAACACACGGCACAGTTTAAGGCGTGGCCTGTTCAGCATTTGTCAACAACCAATCACAAGACTAGTTACATATTCGAACGTAATATTTCACGTAGAATGTTCGAAATCGCGTGTGAATCCCAAGAGACATCAAAGAAAACGATTACAGTTTCCTGTCCATGTATTCACTAGTGTCTGATCCTGTATGAAATATATATGTGCATCATTGTAAATAGACAAAAATATTTAAATCAACACTGTATTCACAACATAGTATTATTGTATGTGTATTTCTAGTAACAAACATATCAAATTCTTTCCATTCAGTGCTAAAGACTTTTTAGAATTTCCCGTGCGTACATTTTTATGTGGAACTTCTAACAGTGTGAGAGGAGCATCACATTTAGCTTGCATCGAAGATGCTACAGTTATAGACATCGGTGGTACATATACTCATGTGTGTGGTATGGCAGGAGGATTTCCCAGGTTAACTTCATCTATTGTAGAGGTACACTGAAACAAAAATATATATTCCAATTGAGGTTTGGCTGTGGTAATACCAGCAAACCATATCTTATGATTTGGAATTAAATATTGGCTAAATAAAACCACTTTAGTAGTTACATTATATCGTATTGTCGATATTATTGTCTGCACGCGATCTGAAGCAAGCAACGGACAATTCTTAGCGTAGTTTTTCAGCAAAATTTACATTACTATATGTCCGTGACATTGATCATTTATCTCAATCTATTATGTTTCTATTTTTTTTATGAACTATATATATTAATATATTGTGTATAACAAACACGATATTGTTACTATACTCTGATGTTCCAGACCTTATATATTATTATTGCTTTATTTAACTGTCTGACTACTACTGACGTATTCCAGAGATAGTGTTATAATCTCTAACATTACACTGTCAATTTATTATTTATGCTTAATGTTAATATAAATACTTCTTAAGATGGGTGGAGTGAGAACCAGCCTCAGAATTCCTGCTGAGAAGAGAATATGTCTCGGCGGAGGATCGCATGTAATTTCTGAGCAAAGTAACGACGCCAAGGTAGGTTAAAATGTTATTGTACCTTGCATTATAATTATTTGTGTACAACTTGCTGTTAATTACTTATAATTAATATTTCAATGTATTAATCACGACAGTTATCACCTTTTTCCTCAAAGAAATCTGTAAAAGTCGGACCGTTGAGTTGTGGAAACAAGCTTACTGTCCAAGGGATGGTTTTTGGTGAACTGGTTGAAAATCAGTTATTGACGGCAACGGACACTGCTGTTGCAGCAGGAGTAGCAAACGTAGGAAAACCTGAGAAAGCAGACCAATTGGACGAGCAGTTAGTTGCCTCTGCGGTTAAGGAAATGCGCTTGATGGTGGAGGCTGCAATCGACCAAATTAAGGTGACAAGATCATACCACAAAAAACAAAACTTGTTTAGATCATTATTTAACAAATCAGTGCTGGTGTCTCAACTTCCACATTTGTAATCTATTGTTTGCAGATGGAATCAAGAGACCAACCCGTAATATTACTTGGTGGGGGGAGTATTTTAATTGATGACAAACAAAAGCTACAAGGAGCATCCAGTGTCATCAGGCCACCACTCTTTGAGGTACGTTCCTTTCAGTTCACCAATACAACCAATCAGCCTTCAGAGAATATTAAGGTTGATCAATACGGTTTCCCGAACTTGGGTGCTTCCGAAAGTGGACGGGTATCACGCGAGATCACGTTCTATTCTCCATGTATTAGCATAAGAAAAACTACCGAAACTGTCGTAAAAGGAGTAAAAAGAAAGATAGCCACTATGCTTACCCCTAGCTCAGGTAAACAGAAAGGTATGCAAGAAAAAAACTATTGAGGATTGGAAACTGACACTGATGCGTTTGTATAAATTTTGTATGAATATCTTCAGCATTTAAAACACGTTATGACTGAAAACAAATAAAAAGTGTAATTCACACCATTGCAAACATTACCCTGGCTTATTGTTCGGTACTATATTATAGAGTAGTATAAGCATACCCTCTTATAATTGTCTACGATTACAATTGAGAAACCTATCCACTGTTATTTAAGGTTGCAAATGCCGTGGGAGCAGCTCTTGCACAGGTCGGTACCGAATATGGTAAGATAGTCAAAATGGACAAGAAGATCAAACAAATAAAACAAGAACACACTGCTGGAAAATCTGTATTTTATACTGGAGTGAGAGACGCCATACAGATGACTATGAGTGATGTAGCTGATGAGAGCAAGGTAGAAGTGAATAGTGTTAATGTTAATCAAGTCAATGTTGTCTAATATGTTTACTCAATTCTATACATGTTATGGCAGACTCCCATGCTATGTTCACAAGTGTATGCGGTTCATACGTTAGTCATGGCAATTCATAATATATATCAACTTGATTAGCAGTAGTGAACATACACACAAATGTGCATTAGTATTTTGTCAAACAGTAAATAGTTGGCGGAAATATGTGATTTTCTCGAATATCTCATATCTCTCAAATTATCCAGACATTTACCTCTTCCGTAAACTTTGGGGAAGTTTTCAGACAATCCATGGATGGTGATGTCCCCAAGGATGGCATAAAAGGTATGTACTAAAAAAACTGTCATCGCCAAAACTGTCATTGCGTTTTATCCAAACTGTTCCAAGTCCAAAAAAATAACGAAATGAACCTGGGATAATGTATGTGTTGAGACAACGGCTTGGAATTCCACTTTTAAACAGAAAGACATCGTTGCAGCGGGAATCGACTCAAAATGAGCAGTGTGCAACAGTGTGTGTTAGTGAATAAATAAAACAATAACTGGAGCTTATGAAAGATACACCCGGTATTATTTTAAATCGATAAGGATCTGTCAGACTGATGGACGTGTTTATAAATACAGGGCAACTACTAGTGTGGCTAATGTAGTTAGCTTAATCAACATATACCATGTTTAGAATAATCCACGGATTACTTTTTTCTGACTTTCTTTGACATTCTGGCTCATTTAATGACAAATTAAAAACACTGTCACTATACAGTTGTCGAACTTCACTGATTTTCACTGTGCAAATACAAATGCAACTTCATCAAGAAAAAGATGAAACTATTACTGAAACTAGATTTTGTAATTGAACTTACACACTCCTCACCGATGTAAGGCAACAACACATTCAACATATTGAATGTGTGTTTGTTACCTTGGCTCGAGTCATACATACATTTATCAACATTATTTGCATATACTGTTTATAGATGCAGGTATTAGCGATGCATCGGCAGAACAGGAACAAACTACAGTGGAAGATATTGATAGCCAACCACGTATAGATCCTTCAACAGGGGAATGGCTATTGTCAGAGTGGGACATAGATTGTATTACTCTAGGTGCTTCTATACTCGGCTGCGGTGGAGGGGGTGAGCCTTATTTACAGAAATTGCAATGCAAACTTATACTGCGAGATGGCAAGAAGATACGAATTATAACACCAGAAAGGTATGATATTCTACTTTGATTTTTGTTTGCACAGGCAGAACAGACATGCTTCTGCAGACTTACTGATAAATATTAATTTTCTAACAATTCTGTGTTTACTTTCAGTATTAACAATACTGGTTTCGTTTCCTGTGTTGCCGCTTTGGGTGCACCATTGATTGAAATAGAAAAACCGGCTGGGGACACCATAATAGATCCAGTTATATGCCTCCAACAAATAATCACATCAAACAATATTCTGGATGAAGGTAAGACGTGCCTATTTCCCTTAGATTTGCATAAGCTTTGTAGATAATTACCAGTACATATATATTATATGTTACAAAAACGATCTCAAATGTCATATAGAAACCACTTGATTATGACTTATGATGGTATATGACAGGTGCCACATGTAAAACAGGATGGGTCACACACTTTTGAAACAGATTACATTCATTCATGTATACCATAGTCCAGTAAAAACAGTAAAGACAGTAAAAACGTATTCTTGATTTCTAAAAAACCAAAACGTTTCGCAATCAAGCTCTTTGACACAAAAGGAAAATTAACACATATATGTTAATTTCCCACCAGAAGACATTGAAGAAGACTTAAATGGACTTAAGTATATTGAAGACTTTCATGGCCAATTGGTGAAAAACGTGGATACACCAGGATTGAGTGCTATAATGAGTGCTGAGATTGGTGGTGCAAATTCATTGATAGCATTATATGCTGGTGGTCTCTTCGATCTCCCAGTTGTGGATGCAGATTTCATGGGCAGAGCTTTTCCGGAGTTCCAGGTTTGTACAAATCTTATACAAATATGGCATTACTACAGCTACTAGTCACTTCAAGCAGACATACGATAACATTCTAGCCACGTTGTAAATTACAAAGTTTTTGACAATAAACTAACTTCACAAACAATATCACAGTGTATCGAACGAGCATGGACGTGCACCGAAAAATCATCGTTGGTTTGCATAATATGAGATTGTCACAAGATAAACCGCAAAATAGATAAGTAAGCACAGCGGTCTCGGGCGGCAATACGACAATCGCATCGACTGATCCGATCTCGCACTGCACCAGTATACACGCTGCGGTATTCTAATATTATACTTATTTTTCCTGATTGTATTAAAAATAATTCAAAGTGAGATAATATCCCCTAATATCAACGAAGAACGTTTTGCGCTGTGTAAACTCGTGTGTACATGACATTTCTTTAACATTCTTCTACGTCCGATGTTATTTTCTCGTGATGGTTGCTAGTTAATGTTAAATTGTTCTCTAGCGAATTGGTTTCACGTATGAGCTCATCTCATCTCAATTGACATTTCTGTTCATGAATTTCTATGTCCAATACTACACATGACCATAGGCAGTGGTGCATACTTGCAGTCTAATTTGCATATGTCTGGGGTAGTCACACAGTTCAACGCTTTTCCAGAATAGCGTTTTTAACGAACCCATCCAAATTGTGAACTACATAGGTCATATAGAACCACTCTATCATGAAATTGTAATGACTTCACAGGTAGTGCTTAATAGATAAATGACAGAAAGACATTTATATGAACAGAATGGAGGGGCTTCTCAGAATATATCTTTTCTGCAGTTGTCTATTTTAATTTTCAAGTTCGTTCCCTGTATATTAAATCGCTTTTGCTGCTGTTTATATATTCTTTGCCCTCACCATAATTTACCATATTCAGATGTGTGTTCCCAATATGTTTGGTATACCTGCTTATCCATGCTGCATGTCTGATGTTAAGGGAAGAACAGCAGTAGTGTTGAAGGCGAAGAACGCACAAGATATTGAAAATCACCTGCGAAAAGTTGTGCAAGAAATGGGGTAAATACTTTCCTGACACAGCCGGAGATAATGCACACATATATGTAAAGTCTGGGAAGTGATTTTATCGGATAATTACTCAATAACATTATTTAAAACTTCCCAATTGTGAATTCAATTATTTTCCACATGAGCTACAGGTAATACTTATTTGTGGTATTGGCTGCTATTGCCTGGATACAGGTTGTGCTTCGTAAACGCGTATATTGGTCAGTTAGACCTAAATAAACACTTCTAACTTTTCATCACAGGTGCCAAGCTGGACTTTGTTTTGGTTCGTACAGTAAATCAGATATCATGGACTATAGTGTGAAGTATACGTTCAGCAGAGTTTGGCGACTCGGTCAGGCTGTACTACAGGCAAGGCGTGACAGGACAGATCCTATACAAGCAATACTACAATGGGAGAATGGAAAAACCCTGATTGTTGGAAAGGTATGGGTTATTATTACCTATATTCTGATACAGTATGTAATAATAGTATTGATATCGGTAAAAATACTAATAAAAATACATACGGTATAAATAATATTTGGCGTTACGGTGACAGATGTCTAATAATATGCAGTATTTGCGATTAGAAAAGTGAGATAAAATTGTGTTCACCCGAAATGATAGGGTTAACCATTAGAAAAAAAATATGACACTTGGTACATACTTATTAAAACCATTTTGAACCAAATTCCCACAGATAGCAGATGTTAAAACGAAACTGACAGGCGCATTCTCAAAAGGAAAAGTGATCATTGATGGTTATAACGCATATGCTGGTCAGTCACTTCATGTCGAATGCCGGAACGAAAATCTGACTGCAACTCTTCACTGCATGAAAGGAGAATTTAAGGTAAGATGACAGTTTTTTGCTGTGTATGATACAAATGACCCATTATGCATTACAAGTATTATAATATTATAATATTTCACAGTTTCATTACACCTCTACCTCAGTAAACATACAACTAACATACTACTGGTGTAACTTCGTATTCAACTCAAATATTGTTTCCTTCGACTAAACTTATCGCTACGTTAAATTACATTGTCCTCGTGCTTGTTCAATTGTCAACAGGTTGTAGCATGTGTTCCTGACTTAATCGCTATCGTTGACACTGACACTGGGGAGGCTATTCATTTTGAAGAGGTACGAAATAATCTACGTGTCACTGTGCTTGTGTTCGCATCGGCGCATATTCTAAGAACACCGACAGCATTGAAGGTCGTTGGTCCACAAGCGTTTGGATATCCAGAAGATGTTCAGTACCATCCTGTGGCAGATTACACAGAATATAAACCTGTTCATCAATGTACAGCAAATGAAAAATAGTTTTTAAATATTATAATTATATTACAATAGCGTAGATTCAACTCCGAATCCAATATTACTCTGCTGGAGAATCATTATTGTTATTATGATATATCCGTACGTGTTAGATTTTTCATATATAGCGAACAGTTTTTAGAGAGCTGCTGAAAATCCGTATTTAGGGACAAAATAGTAAATAATAAAAAATCCATGTCGAGGTTTATTTTCTTCTAGATGATAACGTTCTTGATATTACACGTAGTCGATAGTAAGTTCTGTTAATCACTTTACATTTCGAATGGACTGTCTTTAACACATAGTGCGCGCAATGATCGTCAAGAAGAAAACAATCCTAGAACGGCTGAATGCGCACATGCACAGTTGTGACAGGAATCCATATTAAATATATAAGGCTAAATGCCTGATGGCGTGTAGAAGCAGTGACGTAACTCAATGACCAAATATGGACAATGACATGCTATTGATTATAATATAGTATAGTATAGTAGATATATACTAAATACTGAGGATAAATCAAAATGTAAGATTTGCAGCTTCAAGATGTTCAACATTTACAATGATAGCTGATTTATGTTTATATTAGATATATAAAACAATTGGTTAAAAAAATTCTAGTGCTATTGCATGAAAAATTGTTCAAAATTATATCCAGTTTGAACATATTTTACAAATAACCACTATATTTCCCTGTAACACGGGTGTCTAAATGTTTGGTAGCATAGCATAACTATTTCCCATTCTGATAGCGTATGAATAAAGTAGTATTGATCAACTGGCACATGGAGGTCAATTTTGTCTTGTGTATATTGAGTTAGTGGTTAGCTGGCGCACACGTGATAATAAAATATATGCGATATTTACTATATGGGGCCACCATCTTGCATGCGGCATAAAACTAAATAAGAGACAAGTTGTGAAACGCGTTTTTCAGATTCCTACATATCGGGACAAAAATGCCAATCTTTTACAGAAATACGATCCTTTTGGGGGTAATATTAAGCCAACCGATAACACAATTCGGCCGAATTCGTCGTTTTTGTGTGACAAAATCCCTTAAATGTGAAGACCTAATTACACGAAGAACATAGAACACTTTCCCATGGTATTTAAAAACCGAAATTGTCATCTAACTGTAAGGACGTCGCTGATGGGCTGCTGAGCTGGAATGACAAATACCCCAGCAATGAATTAGGTGTTCGTATTTAAGGGATTTTTTGAATTGTGAAAATGGTTAGAAAAATACCATATTTGGCCACCAGAATCTTTATCTGTTTTGAAAGCATGCTGGTTTTATAGGGAAAACTCATTTACATTTAAAACATGTTCCATGAAAAATGGTTGACATTTTTTTCGATCAGCTCATTAAAACCCTGACAAAAAAGTGGATTTAAAAACAGAATGATATGACCTGTTTTAAATGATAAACGATTGTTAGCGAAATCGCACGTTTTTTTGAAATACATACGTATAACTTCTTCAGGTCCTGAGTTGGGGGTTTAATTTTCCTAAAACAGTTGACATTCTGTCAACGGCAGGAACAATATGATGTAACAATTTCTTGGTCCGCAGGTGATTGTGTTCGACCGTGCCTGGTTGACGCCAGGATAGCGCATTACATTGCCATTTGATAGAGAGATGGCCACACAACCCTGTCTTGTAGTCCCAAACATGAATATGACTTCTGTGGCAAAATGTACTATGTGTCAGCACTAGCACTTCCAATTTGCACTCACAAAAAAAGTCAGGAGAGACAACAGTGACACTCAATGTCAAAAACTGTCGCCTGGCACAAAAACAATTTCTTCAACATATTGATACAGCTAATCAAAAAACTCTAGAGGGTATTTGAAAAACATGTGAACAGTAAGGTGATTGAAGGTTTGGGAGTGACCGTACTTCACTTCATGTTGACAAGTGTGTTTTAAGGAGACTAGGGGTGTGGCAATAACATATATTGGACATGTACTGTATGATTGATCACAAAGGTTACAGTCGTCTAGGGTTGGTTTAATGTGGTATAGGATTGGACACATTTGGTATATGGGTGATCGCGATCGTCTAGGATTGGTCAAATTTGGTATAGAATTGGACACATTCGACATATGATTTATCACAATGGGTTAGGATTGGCCAAGTTTCGTAAATAATTAGACACATTTGGTATATGATTTACCATAATGGTCTAGGCACGGTTAAGTTTAGTATATGATTGGACAGAGTTGGTATATGATTTACCACAATGGTCTAGGCATGGTTAAGTTTAGTATATGATTGGACACATTTGGCATATGATTTATCACAATGGTCTAGGATTGAATACATTTGGCATATGATTTACCACAATGGCCTAGGATTGGATACATTTGGTATATGATTTACCACAATGGCCTAGGATTGGATACATTTGGTATATGATTTACCACAATGGCCTAGGATTGGATACATTTGGTATATGATTTATCACATTGGTCCTAGGTTGGCAAAGTTTAATATATGATTGGACACATTTGGTATGTCATTTATCACAATGGTCTAGGATTGGCCAAGTTTAGTATATGATTTGGCACATTTGGTATATGATTTATCACAATAGTCTAGGATTGGCCAAGTTTAGTTTATGATTTGGCACATTTGGTATATGATTTATCACAATGGTCTTGGGTATATGCATAACTTTGATGAAATATTACTTTTCAACTAAATATAGCTGAATTGCAAAATGAGCGATAAAACACTTCGAACCCTCTCCATCATTGAGTTTAAATCTCACTTCTGATACATATGTATAACATATGTATAACTGCTGTTGTCACACTATAGTTATAGACTCTGAGAACCACTATAAAAGTAATTTTTGCAAGCCTTAGATGACAGTGTATGATTAAAACTCTTAACTGCTTGTGTACTTTCTATTGACACTAGTTTTTCAGCAACAGAAAACAGATCTTCAAATATTCTGCTCAACGTCAATTGTAATAGAGCATCACAGAGTGGACGGCCATATGATAAAGATTTATATTTTGAGATGGGATTTTCGAAAAATCTGCACCATGACGGACTACAATAAGTATGATTGGATGCAGTGAGAGTGATTTTAATCCTTGCCTAAGATCCTGTACATTTCCTTCATTATGTATAACTATAAAATTAAAACACTTTTGTTACAACTTGATGAATATCCTTCAGGGAATAGAGCTGATTGCCAAGAATTACTATCAGATTTCTTCTCAATAGCTTGGTCAACATCACCAATTAAAGTTCCAATCGGTGCAGAGCTTTTCTCCATCTGTCAGGTAAGTTCCTCCACCATATTGGGCCATATTGACTCCATTGCTTTGGCACTTTCTGCCCAATTTTTTCGGCAACCTTGTTTTCCTATTTCTAAACCTAGCATTGTAGAAGCTTCACATTCACATGTGAAGTAAATAGAACAAATTATTTTATGAAACATTATTATAATATGACCAGTGTGAATCTAGCCATCTGATTAGCTGAAGCTAGGGTTTATATCTGGCAATATATGTCTTGGGCCCTGTTTTATAGTAATTACGTCAGACGACGAGTTTCAGATCAATTTTGATCTCAATTTCAAATGGGACCAGCTGGATGAAATTTACGCTACTGATGAAGAACTTCTTCAAGCTACAATTGAATGGGAGCAACAGAACGCCGGCAGTAATAACGAGCCAGATCAACAGAAGCCGGTGTCTGCCAAAGGGCGAAGATTCCCAGAATTTTCTGAAGAAATGGTCGAAAACTTGGCAGCAAAGAAAAATGAAGTGAATTTCGTTGTTTGTAAACAATGCGTTGAACGTTTGGCCACATGATGACCAATTTCTGTACTAACAATTTTTTGTATAGTGTGGTGCTCTGAATGGAAAATCGACCCAGCCTTCCAAATGGTGGAAGTGCAAAAGCTGGCAAAAAAATTAAGCATTTTTATGCCGAGGTCAGGGCTAGAGACGGGAAAGAATACAGCATAAAAAGCTACGCTGGAATTCGAGCAGCAATCCATCGCAACATAACCAATGTTCCATTCCATTAACATTATTCAAGATCGGTAATTCCAAACTGTCAATAATGTATTTATAGGCAAAGTAAAAAGTTTGAAGCAGTAGAAGAATATACAATCCAACACAAAACGGTTATCAGTGCGTGAGACATGTTTAGATGTTTACCAGCGGGACCGTGACCCGGTGTCTTTTTTACGTTTGGTGTGGTTTTATGTAGAGTTTTTCTTTTGCCGAAGTCGACGGGGGGGGATCTTCGGGATTTACACAAAGTTTTGTTTTAAAGAAAGATGACAGGGAACGGGATTATATCACTTTGGCCTATTTGGAAGCAACCAAAAACCACCCCGGGGATTTCAACGATGACTTTGAATTAGAGAAACGGATGTAAAAAACAGACTTCCCACTTTGTCCTATTATGGCTATTCTAAATTATACAAGTAAGCTTCACCCAAGCAATAATGCTTTTTTCCAGCGGCCTATTAGTAACTTTACAGGTAGGGAAACAACTTGGTATACAAACGCTCCTTTGGGTCGCAATACTTTGGGCGAAATTATCAAAAAAATATCATGCATGAGTTGAGCATGCTGTACATTACAGCAAGTCTCAGAAGTAATGGGGCAGCCAATTTGGAAACTCGCTAGCGATTTGGCTAACTGCCTGGGTTTTGACCAATCTGATTAAAATCTGATGTAGTGTACGGGCTTTAATTATTTTGCCTATAAACTTATTTTAATTTTATTTTTGATTACTTTTGTTATTAATGCCCTTTTATTTTATTATTTTACTTTGATTTTGATTTTGTGATTTTTTTAATTCTGCCCTACCTACCTACATCTGATCCGACGCCTATGTAAGTCCCGTTCAAATCTCGCGTAAGTAACAGCCAATCACAGCCCCCCTTTTATACAGGCTGTCGGTTGCTTACTTTTCAGTGTAGCGATACTCTACGGGCAATCTTTCTGTACATTATATTTTGCCCACTTGAATAAACCATTAATAGAAAATTGCTAGTATATTTTTATTTGCAAAAGAAATTCCTCAGCATTTTACAATTTTTGTCATTACATTGAATATTTTTTTCACTTCCAACAAATGTGTACACTTCCAGATACATCTTCGCCAGCCAAGGTTCGTTCATTCAGTCATCGCTTCAATTTTACATCACTGAGCATAATTATCTAGAATGGAAGCAAAAAAATACGTAAATCGTAATGATTAGAACACTGTAAACAGCTATAGTAAACAATGCAAACTGATTTTAAATTGTATAACGGTCACCGGCCCACGGCATCGACGCAGAAAATTGGAGCAAACAA